CTCGTTTCACGCAGCGAGCAGGAGTCAGGGCGAGGAGATCCTCCCGGGCGGTCCGCCCAGGCGCTGACCATGGTCCTGGCCTCCGAGCTCCCGACCCGGGCGCCGAGGGCGCGGGAGAAGGTACCGGCGGGAGGGCGCGCAGGGCGCGGCGGGGAGCGGCTGTGGAAGCCCCCGCCCCTCCCGAACCCCGGGGAGCCCCCGGGCCTGCACGCGAACCCTCCACTGCACGCTCCCAGATGCATCAAAAAAGGGTGGGGCACCCAGCCACAACTGCAATCGGAAGCCGCCCAGAAGGGTTCAAGAAGAATGGAATCGGTTCAACCCTCCCCCCTGCATCGCCATACGACCCCCCCCCAACCGGGGATCGGTTCTTCCTTCACCCGCACCCCCGCCTCCCAGGCCCGGGGAGGCGCGGGCAGCCTTTGTGGGCGCACAGCCGCCCATCGCCGAGCCCGAGCCTCTGCGCGCCCTGCACGGAAGAGGGGCAAGGAGGGTGGGGTGCATGTGCGGATTCGAGGGTGCAATATCCCAGCGAGGCTGGACGGAGGAGGGCACGCTGGGATCCTCGGTTCTCCGCCGAGCTGGGAGGGGCGATCCCCGCCTCTGGGCCTGCGTCTCCAACCCCCACCCCCACACCAACCTGGTCGTAGATGTTCTGCAGCGCTTCCTTGCCCGAGGCCCGCCGGATCTCCACCTTCCGGCTCGATTCAACAGATGGCTCCCCGCCGGCGCGCCGGCCCTGCCGGGGGTACGGCTGCTGCGGGTCGGGGCCCAGGTGGGCGACGTCCCGCTGCTGAGCCACCACCTGCCCCGAGCCCCGGCCCACAGACAGCGAGTCGAAGTCGATGGTCTTGTTCTCGGAGGACCCTTCCACTGGGCAGAACATGCCACAGAATTTCTGCCGGGGCTTGGGGCTGCCTGAGCCCAGGTTTTTAAAAAAGGCAGGGACTTCTTCATCCTCTGCCGGCTTCCCGGACTGCTTCCTCTCGGCCATGGCGCGGGAGCTCAGGGAGGGTCCTCGCGGTGCGTGCGTCTGCCGGTCCCTAAATCGGCCTCTCTGTGCACAGACCCGCTGGCTGCCGCCGAGGCTGCCGCTCTCTGCCTACCGCAAGGTGTACAGAAAGGAAGGAGGGCTGGCGAGCAGCGGCCCACCCTCCCGGCCCCTCCCTCTGACCCCGCGTTCTCCCCTCCCTGCCCACGCCCCCCGCCGCCGCGCCAGCTCCCGAGCAGCAAAGTTGGGTCTGGGAGGGCGGCCGCTGCGGCAGCAGGAGCCGAGAGGCTGGCAGCTTCCCGGCAGCGGCGGCAGGAGGGAGGCGCGGGCGGGGCGGGGCGGGGCGCGGCGGGGGCGGGGGCGGGGGCGGGGCGCGGCGCCGGGGAGGGGAGGGGAGCGCGGGCTCGGGAGGGGAGAGCCGGGCCGCCGAGAGCCCCGCGCTCCGGAAGTGGAGCGGCCAGACCACCCGCTAATGGATGCGGAGCGCAGGGCCCGCCGACCGCTCTCCGCTCCGGGGTAAGTATGGGGCAGCGCACGCAGGGGCGGAGACCCGAGGGCGCAGTCCCTGGCCTCCGCGCCCCTGTCCCCCACCTGCCTGGCCCCGGAGCCTCTCCCCCACCGCATTGCAGAGGTGGGCCCGGGGCGAGGGAGGGCGCCCTCCCCCTTACGCGGGGTGTGAGCTGATGGATGGGCAGAGAGGGGCGAACCCAGTGATGCCCGGACCCCCGCGGGCAGGGGAAGGGGCGGCACTGAGGATGGGGAAGGGGCGGCGCGGTCGGTTTAGGAAGGTGGGGGCCTTACGAGGCACGGGACACCGAGCCTTGTTAGCCACGGGCCTGGGGGGGGCCACGCAGAGATCGAAACGCAAAGGTTCTCCTCACTCACAGCACCCACAGTGGTGGGGGGCGCCCAGCTTGGCGGGGGAAATACAGAGGGGCGTAGCCCAGTGTGTGTGCGTGGGGGGGGGGAGAATAAAGACATAGGTCTGCGGGCTGTGGGAGTGTAGCAAAAAGTGCAGTCTGCAAATCCTGGCACGGACGGCAACTCGTAGTAAGAGTGGGTAGAGACCTGCTCTCTTGCCCGAAGGCGCCGCGTACCGTAGCTGCGCCACTGCACCAAGAAGGGCCCGGGAGAATGCCTTGATTTGGTATCTTCCACCTTCCCTGCCAAAAAAGAGGGTAAGACGCAGACTGAAGCCCACTCCCCAAGTCCCCAGCCCTTCCCCGCGCCCGGAGCGCCCCGCCTCGATCCCCCGCCCGCGTTGCGCACTGCGCCAGAGCCGCGGCGTCCCCCAGGCGGCCCGAAGCCCAGTGCCTGGGATGTAAAGTGCTGGGGCGCGAGTCCGCTGATGCGGTGGGAGACCGGGTGCCGCCTGTGACTGTGCCTTGAATTGTGTGAGGCCACGCGAGGGTGCGTGGGGCTTGGTGTGCGCGGGCGGCTAAACCAGCCACAGCTACTGGGTTGGCGGGCAGATAAGGGGCATTTAGATTTGTGCCGGGAACGCGGTCTCTGAGAGTCCTTCATTGCTTGTTCCTGTCCCCACGTCCTTTCCATGGATCAGTCCCTGCCTCTGGCCGATTACAACCCCGCCCCTCTTTCCATAGTGGCAAAATCCTGCAGAAATGATGCCCATCCTTTGGCGACTGGAGTCGGAGATCTGGGCATGCTCAGTAACCAGGGTGGGTTTGGGCTGGGAGAAGCTGTTTACCGCAAGACCGGCGTGCAGGGCAGCGTGACCAAGGATTCATTCCCATTGTCAGCTCTTGCCCCTGCAAGGATTAAGTTCGGATACCCTCCCCCCACCCCCAATCGTGAGGGACAGTTTGGGGAATGGAGTTGCATTTGGAGGACAACCGGTCACAGTTTGAAGACGAGCCCACCATGGCAGGTAGGAAGGAGGACCCTGCTGAGAACGGGAGACTGAGGAAGGAGAGGAATATTTGTGTGGAGGGGCCAAGACTTTGCACCAGATGTGCTTCGCATTTGAATAAAGTGCTTCCACACGAATTACATCATTTCCTACCCAGAGCAGGCACGCCAGATAGGAGTGCTTTTATCATCACCCATTTCCAGAGCAGGAAACAGATCTAGAGAGATTGAGGCACTTTGGCTAAGGCCACTATCTAGCTAAATGATCCAGCCAACCACGACACCTGAAAATCTGATTCCTTTTTTTTTTTTTTAAAGATTTTATTTATTTCTCCATGAGAGACACACACAGAGAGAGAGAGGCAGAGACACAGGCAGAGGGAGAAGCAGGCTCCATGCAGGGAGCCCGATGCGGGACTCGATCCCAGGTTTCCAGGATCACACCCTGGACTGAACACCTGAGCCACCCAGGCTGCCCGGAAAATCTGATTCCTTTTCCAACTTATCCCATCTTTACCTAAGAAAATACAAGATTTTACATTTTTGTTTAATGTCCCAATATTTTCATTGCAGGTAGAGATTGCCTTTGGAAGAAGCAGCCACCCACAGGTAGCCTAACCTCAGCATGGCCGTTATTATGTAGACCTTGGAGATGTTTCTTCCTGGGCATTCAGTGCCTTTTTACATCTCGTATGTCCTTTAAATATCACAAGGAAAGGAATGTTACTCCCCCCCCCCATCTCAGAAGGAAAAGTGCAGCATGGAGAAGCTCACTGGGCTCAGATCCCTGGGGCTGCTGGTTGAAGGTGGGACCCAGTATTTTGCTCTCTTGGCCCTCCGGCACACCCCAGGCCTTCAGCACCTTCTAGAAGGACTTGGAAAATGTGTCTGCAGCAGGAGCAGCTGCCTCTATAGCTGCAAGTTGATGTCTGGGGCATATGAACCCCGTTTGGATGGATGGGGATCTTTGAGACCTACAGAAGAATATTCGTAGCCCCTTAACACATACCCCATAGCAGTAACTGGGAGACAGTAGGAGCTCTTCCCTTTCTAGGTTACCCAGACTCCACCACTCTCCATGGATGGGCTTCCTGTTTTTCTTTTTCCTCAAATGACCCATTCAAGCCTAAATGCTACGAAGCATTTTTAACGTTGATCGCAAAACAAAACAAAACAAAACAAAACAAAACAACAACATTGCTTTTGTAAAGCCTGCCCAGACATAACAAAAGGGAATTGACTTGTAATTCCAGGTTTAATTTATTTGGTCCAATTTTTTAAAAAATTGTTAAACCTATACTAAATTATTATGCCTATATCATTTTATATTATACTATATTATATTAAAGTGTAGTATGTAAATTAAATTGTTATACCTATATTGGTTTTAAATGTTTGAGTGATTTCTAACTGGATTTTTTAATTAAAGAAATGCAGCAACTTGATATCGATTAGTAGATTTAACTAAGTTGTAAAAGACTGTCATTTTTTTAAATAAATGCATTAACAGTCCTCATCACTGGATATTATCAAGCCATAAATATATACTCTTATTATCTATGTGTAACAGGGCAGTTTGGCTTGGCTGGAGCTAAGAAAGACCCAGACACACCATTGTGTGGAGTTGGGTGACATCTTCCTTTTCTAGAAGCTGAATAAATAAGCTCGTGACTCTCACGGAACAATTGGATCGCATAACAGGTATCTAGCCACACCTGATTTTGCTCTTAACATGGGGAACATCTTGAGTCCTGTCCACAACTGGGGCTCAGACATTAATTGGCATGTCTAATGAGCAAATGGTGGGGAAGCCAGGTTGCAGGAGGGTCCCCAAGAGAAAAAAGTCACCCTATGCAAAGAAGAGGTCTAACAGTGGGGTAGGTGCAAATCCAATGTGAGATGGAACCCCTACTTCCATCCTGAACCAAAGCACGATGCTCCCCCAGAAGGAAAGGGCTGTGTGGTAAAACTGGCCATTGTTTCACTAGGAGTCCAAGCACCCCTGCGGCGACACTTCTCTCCAGGAGTTCTGGGTGCCAGAGTGGAGGCCTCTCCCAGTGACTAGTGCGAGAGGAGAGGTGAAGCGAGGCAGCCAAGACTTGGGAGAGTGGCAAAAGCAGCTCTTGCAGGTGCCTCGGACAGTCGGAGAAGGGTCAACACCACCACGTGGCTGCTGGCATCGGGGAGAGCCACAGCAGCCACTGGACCCCAGAGCAACAGGCAGTGGCGCTGTCATAACCTTGATAGGAACCACCTGCCTTGGGTCAGGTCTAGAGACATAACTGGAAGTGTTGAGTTCTTGCCACTGGGCAAGTAAGGGTTATTGGTCCAGAAGCCTTTGGGACTGCTGTTGGAGTGGCCAGGCCCCAGTCGCTGGTAGAGTATAATAAGTTCAGGAGCTCACCCAGGATACTCTGAGCCTTAAGGCAGTGCCTCGCCGCACCACAAACTATTGGGTGGCCAGAGAGTTAGGGTGAGTGATAATTGGACGATGGCGCTGGCGCTGTTGGAGGACTGGTGCAGGATCATGAGCGTGGATGAACAGAAATCACTGGTGGTTATGGGGATACCGGTGGACTGTGATGAGGCTGAGATTCAGGAGGTTCTCCAGGAGACCCTAAAGTCTCTGGGCAGGTATAGACTGCTTGGCAAAATATTCAGGAAGCAGGACAATGCCAATGCTGTCTTGTTGGAGCTTATGGAGGATGTTGATGTCTCGGTGATCCCCAGTGAGGTTCAGGGAAAGGGGGGTATCTGGAAAGTCATCTTTAAGACCCCTAACCAGGACACTGAGTTTCTGGAACGACTGAACCTCTTTCTGGAAAAAGAGGGGCAGACAGTCTCAGGTATGTTCCGAGCCCTCGGGCATGAGGGAATGTCTCCAGCCACAGTGCCCTGCGTATCACCAGAGCTGTTGGCTCATTTGTTGGGACAGGCGATGGCACATGCCCCTCAGCCTCTGCTCCCCATGAGATACCGGAAACTGAGAGTGTTCTCAGGGAGCGCTGTGCCTGCCCCGGAAGAAGAGCCCTTTGAAATCTGGTTGGAACAGGCCACTGAGATCGTCAAAGAGTGGCCGGTTGCAGAGGCAGAAAAGAAAAGGTGGTTGATGGAAAGCCTGCGTGGCCCTGCCCTGGACCTCATGCATATAGTACAAGCAGACAATGCGGCCATAAGCGTGGAAGAGTGTTTGGAGGCGTGTAAGCAAGTGTTTGGAAGCCTCGAGAGCCGCAGGACCTCCCAGGTGAAGTACCTGAAGACCTATCAGGAGGAGGGGGAGAAGGTCTCAGCCTACCTGTTGCGGTTAGAAACCCTGCTCCGGCGGGCCGTGGAGAAACGAGCCATCCCCAGGAATATCGCAGATCAGGTCCGGCTGGAGCAGGTCATGGCAGGGGCCAGCCTTAGCGAAGTCCTTTGGTGCAGGCTGAGGGAGCTGAAGGATCAGGGCCCGCCTCCCAACTTCCTTGAGTTAATGAAGATAATCCGGGAGGAAGAGGAGGAAGAGGCCTCTTTTGAAAATGAGAATATTGAAGAGCCAGATGAAGGGGATGGCTATGGCCACTGGGATAACGAGGCAGATGACTAAAAACCAGCTTGGAGCCAGTGCACAGCCAGGGCACCTCTGGACATTTCCTTTTATCCGGCTAAGACCGCGTGGCTATTTTTGTCTTTAAATGGATGCAACTGAAATCGAAGCTTTCAAGCCAGGTCTCGATTCTTCTTTCTAAGAAAAAAAAAAAAAAGTATCCCAGAGTTTCTTGGACCCTATATAGATGATGACTAAACACTGGATTCAATTCCAAATATGAGATAGGAAGTCTGAAGGAATCTGAAGCACTTGAAGTTTCCCCAATAGACCAAAGTTTACCCATACCATGAAAGAAAGAAATGACATGAGGAACAAAATATCTTTTGTAATCTATTTAAAAATCCGAGCTTTTTGACTTGTCAGGTGATTTCCTTTCTCAAATCAGCACATTCTTTCTGAGTGCTAGCAGTGTGAAGCACTGGTCAAGCAGGTAAGAGTCCTACACCCAGGAGCATGGGCCATGCTCTCAAGGAGCTTTACCGCCTCATTGAGGATGTGGCCTCTGCATGGGAGAAGCTAAAGAACCTAATGTGTAAATAAGTCACAACCCCAATAGAAGCGCCATTGCCAAATGAATACAACCACTTCCGCTATGCTGTTTCTTTTTCTTTACTTGGGAGGCACTCCTCTACTTGTCTGCTAGGTGTCAGATGGTTGGTTCCAGGCACTATGATAGGCCCTCAAGATACCGATGACTCAGCCTAATCCCTGCTTTCAAGAGATCTACAGTGTGCAAGACACCTTCAAAAAAGTGTACACGTTATGGGAAGGCATGCTAGAGAGGGAGGGTTGGATTTTATGAGCAGACCATTCTGATCAGAGAATATTTTTAGTGGTGACAAAGGGGACAGAAGAGAGGAATGGAGCTCGTTAGTTATTGAGGGTCTATTATGTGCCAGGTGTTGTACACATGTCTCATTTAATGTAGACAGCAACATCAGTAGGGTATCATTTTGCCCTTTTTGAAGGAGAACGAAGACAAAACTCAGAAGAGTCAAGTGGTCTCGTCAATATCGAAATCCTGACAAGCAGCAGAGCTGACACAGAACTCTGACTCTTGCTAATCCTCTTGCCACTACAGTCATGATTTTCAAGATTTTTTTTTCAGCAGTTCCATCTTTAAAATGTATTTAAAAAATAAAATAAAATAAAATAAAATGTATCTTAAACTCTTCACATCTCTACTGAAGGACAGGTAGATTCAAGTGTGTCAATATCCAGATTTTCACACATCGGCATTCATCCGCAGGCTCACTTATGTTTTCAGATTTTTTTTTAAGATTTTATTTATTTATTCATGAGAGACAGGGAGAGATAGAGAGAGAGAGGCAGAGACCCAGGCAGAGGGAGAAGCAGGCTCCATGCAGGGAGTGCAATGTGGGACTCGATCCTGGGACTCCAGGATCACGCCCTGGTCCGAAGGCAGGCACTCAACCACTGAGCCACCCAGGGATCCCCTTATGTTTCCAGATTGACTTGTTTTGTGCAGGCCTTGGAAGTAAGGTTCCCTTGTGATATCTGAGCACATATCTGGACTTCTCTTAATTGTTCATAGATTTAAGGAGTTATGGCACCTCACAGGTGTTTAAATCATGTCCATGCATGCCCTGTGATGTAATGTGTGCTAATAGAGCATAAGTGAGCACCATTCAGTAAATGCTAGTTGATATACAGCATCACGGTAGCTTTTTGTATACAACAAACTTCTCTAAACATCAGTTTCCTCAACAGGAAAATGGGAGCATAATAAAATAGGGTTGTTGTTAGGCTCCGATGACATAATGCCTTTGAATCACTTAGTATGATGTCTGGAACATAGAAAGTCTTCAATATATTAAGACTCATGGTTTTCATGATACTTACTGTCTGTTCAACGCATGTTCTCTTTATTGTCCTAACAGTTATGCAGTAATAAGTAAATATGTCAGCTGTCAGTCAAGTTGTGACAACATTGCATTAGAAACCATTTTAGCTTCTCTGGTATATTCCAGTGCTTGCTGCCTGTTACCTTTGCGATAAGCATTCCAGCAGCTGTTGACTATTGTTAGTGATTTGACTTGGAAACAATGCATTATTCTTTCTGATTGTGGATAATTTTAAAGGAAGAATATCCTGAGATTGTAAGAAAAGTATTTTTGTTAGAACTACCATTTGTAATCATTTCTAAGTTATAATTTTTCAATGCTGTTCAACCAAAACGATACAGTTGTCCAGTATACCATAATTTCATGTTTTTTTGTATTCAAGAAAATGGCCTCATTGTCCTTGATTATTGACAGTATACAAAGTAAAATGTTATAAACATGAAGTTATAAAATAAATACATGCTAATGAAATTCTGAGGTTTTTTTTGTGTATTTCATGTATTGTGATTCTGTATTAGCTATTGCTTGAAGAAGTTTCATTACAAAAAAAAAATTAATAGACAAGGTTAGAAAATCAGACCAAAGCCAAAAGGTCTTGAACTCATCTAAATAGGAAAACCTAAGAACAAAATGCTGAAATACTTGAGCTTTGTCTCCAGGGCTGAGAGAGAGAGCACAGTCCACCATGATCGATTTCCTTTTTAAATACATGGAGACAACATATGGAGGCCTATTCCCTCAGAGACCTCCAACTCACCTTGGAAGTTACTGTACAGATAAATTCGCCATGTCTATTTTGCCAAGAGTGAAATAACCTAGAGGTGAAATATTGTGTCTTTTGGATGAAGTCCTTTTTTTACCTTACAAATGTGTAGGAGTAAAATTCCTCTTGCCATTTGGGCTTTTGAAATTGTTTCTCTTCCACTTTACTACAGTGCAATGGGGGAGGATTCCTCATTGGGCTGTGCACAGTGCAGATCAGCCTTTTGCAAGATAAGTGTCCTAAGGGATGCCCAACACCCTCTCCCAATCACTTGAGAAAAACCTCTTAAAAATTGGCCTCATCTTATACTTACTATGTCTCTAGTCCTGACCCTTGGAGACTGAGGCCTCCAAAATTACATAGCCCACTGCTGAAAACAACTTTTCACCATGGCCATCAGCTTCTTCAGGCCTTAGTGTCATCTGACTTCTCCATCTGTACCAGCCAGTACTGCCAAGCCTCATATCCTGTGGTCATCACTGTCCACCCCAAATGCAAGACTCTGATCATTAGTTCTCATATTTTTTTTCCTGTCCATGCTACATTGTGTTTCCCCCAGTGCTGGTCTTCAAGGTCCTCCAATGTGCCTTCCTGATACTCACAAAGCCCTAGACAAATGAGCCTACATCATTAGAGTCCTTGCAAAATACTCTGGCACCATATTCCTTAGTTGAACCCTGGATTTTCCTGGTAACCTGCTGCTCTCACGTCTCTTGAGTGGAAGCTGCTCAATCTTCCATCTCAGGAAAGATTGAAGAGTGCTGGAGTCACTTCTTTTATTTCACATCATCACCTCCTCACTTGCAAACATATTTCCTGGCATAAGTTGACCCCCTCTGCCCCACAGCTCACTGTGGGTCAGTCCTAACAAGCCTGGACAGAACATTGGCAAAGCAACCCAGTGTGTGAAGAGTGTATTTAGGATGTCATCTGGCTAGATGTTATCTCTAGCAACAATAAGTAGGAAGAAAAAGATAATGAATGTAAGCCATATCTAAGGGAATCCTACAAGTCAAGACTGAGAAAGCAAAGGTGTTGGAAGTTAGATTTTGAAGGAGTGGAGCCTGAAATGAAACACAGAAATTAAGCAAGAGGATCTGAGACAGTATTGTCAAATACACTCAGAGTTCATTTTTTGTTGACCACCAGCATAATCGTTGGATGGTCTAAAGACTCATGATCAGAGCAGATATCTCTCTTACCGCCTTTCTTTCAGGGTGGGCCAGAAGCTCCCTGAGTTGCTCAGGGAAGACTTATACTCATTGAGAAAGTCTCTTGGGAGGCAGCTCGTGTGGCTGAGCAGTTTAGCGCTGCCTGCGGTCCAGTCTGATCCTGGAGACCTGGGATCGAGTCCCACATCGGGCTCCCTGCATGGAGCCTGCTTCTCCCTCTACCTGTTTCTCTGCCCCTCTCTCTTTCTCTCTCTCTCTCTGATGAATAAAATCTTTTAAAAAAAAAGTCTCTTGGGGCGCAAGATGGTGTCCATAGATGGGCTTCGCAGAAGCTAGCCTCCCCCACTGTAGCAGGCTCTGGAGTTGTCCCTGGTCCTGACCTGTATTATACAACCTTCGCTGTGCCCAAGTGGTCCTTGACATCCCAGATGAACATTTTCTTAAAAACTAGAGTAACCGGGGAGGGGCAAGATGGCGGAAGAGCAGGGTCCCCAAATCACCTGTCCCCACCAAATTACCTAGATAACCTTCAAATCATCCTGAAAATCTACGAATTCGGCCTGAGATTTAAAGAGAGACCAGCTGGAATGCTACAGTGAGGAGAGTCCGCGCTTCTATCAAGGTAGGAAGACGGGGAAAAAGAAATAAAGGAACAAAAGGCCTCCGAGGGGGAGGGGCCCCGCGAGGAGCCGGGCTGAGGCCGGGGCGAGTGTCCCCAGGACAGGAGAGCCCCGTCCCGGAGGAGCAGGAGCTGCACCAACCTTCCCGGGCGGGCGGAAAGGGGCTCGCAGGGAGTTGGAGCAGGACCCAGGAGAGCGGGGATGCCCTCGGGCTCCCGGGGACACTAACAGGCACCTGCGAGCGCAGGAGAGTGCGCCGAGCTCCCTAAGGGCTGCAGCGCGCACGGAGGGACCGACCGGAGCAGCTCGGAGGGGCTCGGGAGCGGCTCCAGGGAGGGGGCTGCAGGGCGGGAGCGCGAATCCAACAGCGCAGGCCCCGGAGCACAGGGCGCCGGGACACAGCCCAGGATCCGGCCTCCCCCGGGACAGGCAGAGGCCGGGAGGGCCCGAGACAGCGAGGACGCTCCTGCCCCGAGCTGAGCAGATCAGCGGCCCCGCCCCGGAGCCTCCAGGCCCTGCGGACGGAGAGCCGAGAGCCCCGAGCCCCATAGTTCCTGCGGAGGCTGAATCCAGGCTTCCAGAGTTGCCATAGCAACTGCTGCTGTTCCTCCTGGGGCCTGGCGGGGTAAACAACCCCCGCAGAGCCCTGCAGCAGGCAGGGGCAGAGCAGCTCCCCCAAGTGCTAACACCTGAAAATCAACGCAACAGGCCCCTCCCCCAGAAGACCAGCTAGAGGGGCCAGTGATACTCCCCCGTGTTCCAATACAACTTGTTTCTGGCCACTCTGCACTGAGCAAAATGACTAGAAGGAAAACCTCAACTCAAAAGAAAGAATCAGAAACAGCCCTCTCTCCCACAGAGTTACAAAATCTGGATTACACTTCAATGTCAGAAAGCCAATTCAGAAGCACTATTCTACAGCTACTGGTGGCTCTAGAAAAAAGCATTAAGGCCTCACGAGACTTCATGACTGCAGAATTTAGATCCAATCAGGCAGAAATTAAAAATCAATTGAATGAGATGCAATCCAAACTAGAAGTCCTAACGACGAGGGTTAACGAGGTGGAAGAACGAGTGAGTGACATAGAAGACAAGTTAATGGCAAAGAGGGAAACTGAGGAAAAAAGAGATAAACAATTGAAGGACCATGAAGACAGATTAAGGCAAATAAACGACAGCCTGAGGCAGAAAAACCTACGTTTAATTGGGGTTCCCGAGGGCGCCGAAAGGGACAGAGGGCCAGAATATGTATTTGAACAAATCCTAGCTGAAAACTTTCCCAATCTGGGAAGGGAAACAGGCATTCAGATCCAGGAAATAGAGAGATCCCCCCCTAAAATCAATAAAAACCGTTCAACACCTCGACATCTAATAGTGAAGCTTGCAAATTCCAAAGATAAAGAGAAGATCCTTAAAGCAGCAAGAGACAAGAAGTCCCTGACTTTCATGGGGAGGAATATTAGGGTAACAGCAGACCTCTCCACAGAGACGTGGCAGGCCAGAAAGGGCTGGCAGGATATATTCAGGGTCCTAAATGAGAAGAACATGCAACCAAGAATACTTTATCCAGCAAGGCTCTCATTCAAAATGGAAGGAGAGATAAAGAGCTTCCAAGACAGGCAGGAACTGAAAGAATATGTGACCTCCAAACCAGCTCTGCAAGAAATTTTAAGGGGGACTCTTAAAACTCCCCTTTAAGAAGAAGTTCAAGTAACTCTGAACGTGAATGGGCTTAATGACCCCATCAAAAGGCGCAGAGTTTCAGACTGGATAAAAAAACAGGACCCATCTATTTGCTGTCTACAAGAGACTCATTTTAGACAGAAGGACACCTACAACCTGAAAATAAAAGGTTGGAGAACCATTTACCATTCAAATGGTTCTCAAAATATACCCTAAAAACTACAGAACACTTCTGAAAGAAATTGAGGAAGACACAAAGAGATGGAAAAATATTCCATGCTCATGGATTGGCAGAATTAATATTGTGAAAATGTCAATGTTACCCAGGGCAATTTACACGTATAATGCAATCCCTATCAAAATACCATGGACTTTCTTCAGAGACTTAGAACAAATTATTTTAAGATTTGTGTGGAATCAGAAAAGACCCCAAACAGCCAGGGGAATTTTAAAAAAAGAAAACCATATCTGGGGGCATCGCAATGCCAGATTTCAGGTTGTACTACAAAGCTGTGTTCATCAAGGCAGTGTGGTACTGGCACAAAAACAGACATATAGATCAATGGAACAGAACAGAGAACCCAGAAGTGGACCCTGAACTTTATGCTCAACTAATATGCGATAAAGGAGGAAAGACGATCCACTAGAAGAAAGACAGTCTCTTCAATAAATGGTGCTGGGAAAATTGGACATCCACATGCAGAAGAATGAAACTGGACCACTCTCTTGCACCATACACAAAGATAAACTCAAAATAGATGAAAGATCTAAATGTGAGACAAGATTCCATCAAAATCCCAGAGGAGAACTCAGGCAACACCCTTTTTGAACTTGGCCACAGTAACCGGAGAAGGACAAACGGTGTATGTTCTCATTCATTTGGGGAATATGAATAATAGCGAAAGGGAATATAAGGGAAGGGAGAAGAAATGTGTGAGAAATATCAGAAAGGGAGACAGAACATAAAGACTTCTAACTCTGGGAAATGAACTAGGGGTGGTGGAGGGGGAGGAGGGTGGGGGGTGGGGGTGAATGGGTGACGGGCACTGGGGGGTACACTTGACGGGATGAGCACTGGGTGTTATTCTGTATGTTGGTAAATTGAACACCAATAAAAATTAATTTATAAAAAAAAAAAAAAAAAAAAAACTAGAGTAACCCCAGAAGTAGATGCCAAAATCAATTCAATAATAAGAAGAAAAAGGTG